GAAAAATCTAACAATCTACAGCAAAACCATCAATTATTATGGGCGTTATAACATAGGTGTGCAGCTGGACGAAACATACACGTCGAACCCCCCCAGACGATTTAAATCCCTGATGAAACATACACGTCGAACCACGGCAACGGGTTAAAGGGGGACGCACAATGGACCACTAACTGGTCTAAGTGCATGGGGAAACCCAGTCCCTCAATACGGAATATGGAATAACATTTAATTTCAATAATCTCAACTCAGTAAGTTCAGTTCAAATTTTCTCCATTAAAATTTTCCTCAGTTTAGTGTTCAAAGCCACTGCTCCCCACAAAAAACTAAAATGGGGGCTTCACTATACATCCCTCATCTCCCAAACCTGCCTGTTTATAAACCATCATCCCAGCCACAGCTAGCTTCACCATCTAACATTAAGAAAACATAATTCTTCTGCCTCCACTCTGTCTTCAATATTTACAAGCTGGTCATCATGTGTTTTTGAGATCAACTGCAGTAAGCGTGTTGTAATATATTTTTTGAAGCCTATTCTCGCAAACAATTTGATCAACCAAATTTGGCAAGAAATTCATATTCCATGTTACTAAACAAAATTTCATAATTTTACAAATGACAATATTTTATAATGAAGTTCAAAAATCTCATTGGCTTCATATACACACATGATAATATCAGGATGTGACATTACCCTCCAACTGTGAGCTCAAAGGGTTCATATGTACTTTTCTCATATAAAAGTTACCTATTTTATATGTTATTTCTTCTTCTGTGGAGACTGGATCATCTTCCTCAAAGCCATCATCTGCTGAGTCATCATGCAAGGTATACAGTCTCTTATCTCGTGATATGAATATGTTTCCAGGTTTGATATCCATATGGACCAGCTGCATGGAATGGATATATCTGAAAATATATGAAATATTCTTATATGTTGAAACTTCATGCACAGTTAGTTTAAAAGGTTCTTAACAATTTCAATTTATACTCATTACATCTCCCAGCTGGAATGTCTACATACTTACAGTAGTACTGTATTGTATTTAGCACAGAATTAAAAAGAACAAAGGTGAAGTAAGTGCAGAGCATGACATTTATTCCATACTTCATTAAATTTGATCTTATCAAATGAAAGATGTTGGGGGAAAGAGACAGGGAGAAACATAATGGACCTACAAGATCCTGTGAGCTTAATTTTTCTTAGGGTAAGGAAATGGGACTAAAGGAATAAAAAATTTAAATTTCTCTCGGGCTTTCCAATAGTTAACTGAACTGTTCCTAAACAGAATTTATGACTTAATCTGGTTGGTTGACAGGTTGTTTGATGACTTCATATTGGCATGGTTTCAAACGAAAAATTATTCATTAAGTTCTGAAAAGGAACAGGGGAATGCAGGAAGTAGCCATGGCCTATTTCAAGGTAGCCCCAGCACTTGAACTGCCTACTTGGCAATATAAATCCAGAAGAATGTGCATTTCCACTGGACTGCACAAGTATTACATTTGACACTGTCCACTATCTAAAATAGGTCTGATATACACTGTCGACTGTATCCCCCATCAAGTGACTGGCGGCCATTATAATGATAGATGTGTATCCTTCCATATAAAGATTAGTGGCTACAGTTAGGTCACATCAGCTGCTGGTCTATGCTGCTGATGTAAATGTACTGGGAGGAGATAACATAAATACCATAAAGAAAAACACAGAAGCTGTTAAATGACACTAGTATGGAGGAAGGTCCAGAAGTAAATGCAGAGAAAACTAAGCATATGTTGATATCCCATCACCAGAATTCAGGGAAAGAATCATAACACAAAGCTAGCTAACAGATCCTTCGAACATGTGCCAAAGTTCAAACACTTGGGAAAGACAGTAACCAATCAAAATTTGATTCATGAGAAAATTAATAAGAGGAGATTGAATTCAGGCAAGGCTTGCTACCATTCAGTTCAGAACCTTTCGCCTGCTGTCTAAAAACATAAGAATTAGAATACATGAAAGTACAATTTTGCATATCGGGTTGTATGGGTATGAAATTTGGTCTCTGACATTAAGGGAAGAACACAGACTGGAGGCGTTTGGCAACAGGATGCTGAGGAGAATATCTGGACCAAAGAGGGATGAAAAACTGCACAATGAGGAACTTCATAACCTGTACACCTCACCAAATATAATTGGAATGATAAAGTGGAGGATGGGATTAGCTGGTCATGTAGCATGCATGGGAGAGAAGAGCAATTCATATAGGATTTTGATGAGAAGGCCAGAAGAAAAGAGACCACTATGAATACCTTGACATAGGTAGGAGGAGGCGTTTGGCAACAGGGTGCTGAGGATAATATCTGGACCAAAGAGGGATGAAAAACTGCACAATGAGGAACTTCATAACCTGTACACCTCACCAAATATAATTGGAATGATAAAGTGGAGGATGGGATTAGCTGGTCATGTAGCATGCATGGGAGAGAAGAGCAATTCATATAGGATTTTGATGAGAAGGCCAGAAGAAAAGAGACCACTATGAATACCTTGACATAGGTATGAGGATAATATTAAGATGGATCTTAGACGGGATGGGATGGCATCAACTAGACTGATCTGGCTCAGGATAGGGACAAATGGAAGGCTTTTGTGAACATAGCAATGAACCTCTGGGTTCCATAAAATGTTGGGAAAGTCTTGAGAAGCTGAGTGACTAGCAGCTTCTCAAGGACTCAGCTCCCTGGAGTCAGTACATTATCCTTGTTACATTCCTTTAGGAAATAATTCACAATGAATGTTGCCTAGAACAACTCAAACCAGCTACATGTAGGTATTTTCTGAAGAGTTATACACACCTTAGTCCTTCTGAAACATGAAGCAATAATCGCCTCAGCTCTGGTTCTGTGAAAGGCCTTTTTTCACGCTGACGTTCTTCAATGGCTTCTGCCAGACTTCCACCATTGCAAAACTCATTTTGTATGATCATATGGTTGTCCTCTGCCCATGCTGAATAGTACCGCACTACATGATGGTGCTGGCCCAAAACTGCATGTGCATACACTTCATTCAGTGCTGTTTTCCTGAAACAAACATTTTAATTAATAAAAGGAACAAAAATATAATATGGTGACCATCTATATGCCTCATTAGGACACACCTACAACAAGTCACCTACACCATAGTGTGTCATAAAATGATGACACACTTTTATAAGATGATAATGCCTCCATTCACACAGCTAGAACTGTACAGTAATGGTTTGAAGAGTATTAAGGTGAACTTCAACATCTTCCCTGGCCAGTATAATCATTGCATTTGAACATCACTGAACCAATCCAGTCAGTTTTGGAGACTCGAGTGAGGAACAGATTCCCATCTCCAAAATCGCTTTCAATTTGATTCAATTTTAATTTTAATTTAAGCTTAAGCAGCTTTAAGATGTTCTTAAAGAAGAATGGTACAAAATTCCACTACAGACTGTTCAAAACTTGTAAGAGCCCATTCCAAGGGCTGTAGCTGTATCGAACGCCGAAGGTGGTCCAAAACCTACAGTATCTGTAAAAAGTAAAGTAAAGCTATCCCTGTAACAGGCTGTGAAGGCCCATAGGGTTGTGAGATGTTGAGGGTCCCACATTATCTAGAAAATTGGTTCAAAGATGGCGGTAAGGTTGTCAGCCTTACGCACCAGCTGTGCTTTACTCCCCAGGAAAATTATTTAATTAATTCCTGCCACTCAGCTCCGTTAAAGTATGAGTAGACCCCAGGGCCATAGTGCAGCTGGAAGGATTAGGTCAACTGATAAAAATCCAATGACCTCATCAGGACTTGAAACCTCGACCTTCCAGCTTGTAGCATAGTGCCTCAAGCAACTAAGCTACAGCGTGCCCCGCAGTATTTCCGTTATTTTGTCCAACCCTTGTATGTCCATACTGTATTCTGTGGTAATCAAAGTTCTGCTCCAGTGTCAAGCTATGCCTAACATTTAGCCAGGCTGCACTCATAACTACTGTGATGCAACAATTATTGGAAGATGTGAACATCAGCAACTGCAATTCTCTGTAGGTAGCCAAACATAATCAAAGAGAGGGAATGTAACTAACAGTAAATTGAACTCTGTTTGAAACAACAAACTATACTGTGGATATAGAATACTCACTCGTTCGCACTGCCTGCAACAGGTTTAATGCTCTTCTTTACTGCATATGTGCAACCATCCAACCTGTTGATGCATTCATAGACACTACCAAACTCGCCTGTGCCAATTAGACGAACCTCAAGGAACTCCTGAAAAACCATAAAATTAAATTGTATTCCTTATTATGCTTTCTTTGTGATCTGATGGATTATACCTGTTTCAACTTTGCCTACATTTAAGAAATTATAAAGTGTGTAACCGTACGTCCCTCGCCAAATTATTTAATTAAGGGTATGAACAACTTATGCATTGTTTAACACCATGAGGGACACTCCTCCGGTAGTTCAGGGTTAGTAATTGTTTGCGTGGTCATTTATGTTATGGTAGACAGCCGATGTCAAGTTTAAGTGGTATGTTTGAAGTTTAGTGAAGAGTGTGAGCTTCAAAGTTGAAATAATCTGTCTTGTATGTGGTCACTTTGTGGAAGTATGACAGTGTATTGGAAACAATTAATGTAATCCTCGGTTCATATGGGAGAATGGCATTAAGCCTCAGTAGTGTCTTTCATCTGTTCGACTCGGACACACCTCGGCTTAATGGGGGGAGTATTGTAACCGTACGTCCCTCGCCAAATTATTTAATTAAGGGTATGAACAACTTATGCATTGTTTAACACCATGAGAGACACTCCTCTGGCGAGATACCATCCCGGGATCGCCTAGTTGTAATTCAGCTACTGTCCTCCTTAGGCTTAGGGTTTCACTATAGTACCTAACGTCGCCAGTTTGCTCCTGGTATCATAAACCCATAAACTGACCTTGTGCGAGACCAGCCAGGAGGGGTCTTGGGTTCCCTGCTCGTGTGCCTTGAAGACCTACAAAGGTTTATGGGTATCTCCAAAATACGGATATAGGACAGATGTCGGGCTCAACCCTTCGCTTTCTCATTTATGTTTCTATTTTTTGTTTTCAGGCCAACTGGGGGACTGGTAAAGAGGGGGAAGTCAGTTATAGGGAGCTGAGGAGGACAGTTGTTGAAAAATAGACAGAGAACAGAGTAGTGTTTTACAGTAGTGGTAGCGAGTCGGCGGACGGAGCAGCTAGCTTGGAGAATAATGTAAATATTGATCATTAATGAAACTTTAAATTAAAACTGCAATCCACGGTGTGTTCTGGAGCCCCGGATTCATAAACCTAGAAGTGTGTTCCACTCCCATCTCCGAAGCACCCGTTTCCTGAGAAAAAGACCTCTAGCTCAAGCGAAAGCTGTGGCAGCTGTAAGTCGGTGGACGGCTACAGGAGAATGCCCAACATGGGGCCCATACTCCCCTCATTAAGCCGAGGTGTGTCCGAGTCGCACAGATGAAAGACACTACTGAGGCTTAATGCCATTCTCCCGTATGAACCGAGGAATACATTAATTGTTTATAGTACAGCGTCATACTTACACACAAGTGACCACATACAAGACAGATTATTTCAACTTTGAAGCTCACACTCTTCACAAAACTTCAAACATACCACTTAAACTTGACATCGGCTGTCTACCGTAACATAAATGACCATACAAACAATTACTAACGCTGAACTACTGTTGTACAAGAATAATATATAAATGGATTTCAGTGAAATATACCATGAGAATGCTACACACCTTGCGATATCGTGGAATGTTAGAATCTTGGAGTGCCAGTCTCTTAGTTGGTTGTTCTACTTCTGAATCAGAGTCTTCATGGTCATTCACTTCAAATTTTTGTACATCAGGACCATCAGCTGGTGATCTGAAAGTAATTAACGATTGTTTTTAGTACTTCAGACTAACAGCGGTAACAAACTCTGGCATATTTTTAAATATAGATCACAGAACAATACTTAATATATGTATCTTGAAAACTATGCCTCTACTGGAAATTAAACAGGAGGTTCTGCTCAGTGATTCTGAACACTCTGAACACAGCAGTTTCCTATCAGAAACTAGGAATGCAGCAAAACTTCATTCAAAATCTTTACAAGTAAAATAAAAACCTACCAGTTAACAATGACCAAGTCTTCACTCAGAAGAAGATTTTGGAATGCTTTCAAATTTATGAAATCCATTACAGAAAACCAATTCCAGTAAAAATACAGAGCCAACTTTGAGAAGCTGTAGTGTTGCAATTACTGATGGGAGGGATTTATGAATTATGCTCTTGAGATGGGCTCAGGTGCTATGATATATATACCACGTTTCACAAAGATTGGTTCAGGCATTCAAAAGTTGTTTGGGGGGGGGGGATATACATAGACACACAGCAAGAGGTGATCTCATAATCTTACTTCTCAGTTCTGGAAAAGATGTCAAAATACAGCACATGGAAAGTTCAAGGAAGTAAAAATGAAATGGAAGAAATATTGAAATGGAAATGATGCATATGAATGTAGTAGTATTAACAGAAAAGAAAGGTTCTGGTACAGAAAACTTGAAAAATTATATACTTTTCTTTAGTGGTGTTCAAATTATGAAAGAGGAAAAGAACAGAAATGTGCTGCAGTAAATAAAAAGGCATAAAACTATATAATCAACTGGGAATTAATCGATGGAAGATCACTACGAATAGGAATGACAACAAATCTACATAAAGTGATGACTTTGGGGATATATGATCACAGTGAAGATGACAATATTCTGACAAAAGATGAGTTCTATGAAAAATGACATGATTTAAGCAAAGAATGGTGTTTGGATATGAGAAAATTACATCAGTCACTGTGAACAGTATGTGCATGTGCACACACGAATTATCTTTTGTGTCTTAATTTACAATTACATGAATAGTTTTTCTGAAGGGAACAGTAATATTCTGACATTTACATCAGGATCGTCTCCTTGCTTTCCTTACACGACCATTTTTTGCACAAGCATCATACGTAAACTCTTGTTCCAAGTGTATCTCACATATGCCATTTTGAAACAAAGAGTAAAATGACTGAGTGAACATTTAATACAGTATCGGGGTTTGGGATTACTACTGGCTGGCCCACACATAACATCAACTTGCTTCAGAGTAACTCTTCAGTGATTTACCAGAATGATATTGAAGAAAAAATATTAAATGTGTACAGGCTGTTGGTTCGTTAAAATAACTACCAGTCTGAATTTCTACAGCCAAAGTTGATTCAGGGATCATCTATCTCTCCCACCTGAATGGCCAAATGGGCTTCAGATAACTTTCTGACAATTACAAAATTCAACAGGGTTTTCTAACCCTGTTGGCAAAAACAGGTAGAAGCTGAATAAAACACACAATCTTCATCAATCTGAGAGGGGAACTACAGAATCTGCTCCACTTTCAACTCTCTTTCACCTTCCTCCTCCAGTTCTTAGGTACACCTCAAGCAGTATTCAGGTCAGAAGGACCAAGTCTCTTCAAGATGGAATGAACTAATTAAAAATACAAACATGGTCTGCTATTTTTTAATTTTACAATATACAACCATGTGAATGTGGCCCATCTTATGTAAGCATTTCAATGGCTAATCAGAATCCCTAGTAATGTACAGGTGTGACATCATCCAAGAACATATTCTAACTGCAGTGACATTCTTCTATATGAAAACTCACACAGACATGAGCTGAACATCTTTTCTCAGCCTCGCAACATGAACTGAACTTGCAAGTTGACCTTCCCATGAAGTATATATACCAACTGTGGCCTATAACTGCACTCTGTCACGACTGTCATATGTCGCACTGGATATGCTACTAATGTCAAAAGACCAAAGCTTAGGGGGGAGGAGGCACATGTATGTACCTCTGTAAGAAACTGGAAAGAACACTTTCTGAGTCATGTCCCCAATAAATTATACTACCAAACCACAGGAAGACTTCCAAACAGATGGAAAGACTGTTTTATAATGCTCTTAACAAGCTAATTAAGCCAGACACCATAACGTGAATGGATATTAACCATCTGCTTCCCTAATATAGAAAAATGTAGCAAAATCAAATGCACCATGCCCCTTTCAATGCAGTAAATACAGTTTAAAATGTATACACCCACAAGAAATATATGGCTTATAGCAACACACAAATGATCAGAAACAGAACAGCCAAAGGGCTAAAATAGCAGCTTACACATAGTATCTCGGCAAGATTAAAATACAACAAAAAAATTGGGCCAGGACAGGCATCAATTACGTAACTGGCTAAGGAAATTGCATGACAGTTTTGGTATTAAAAATTTAGAAGGATGTATAACATGCTGTAACACAAATACACTACTTGTTTCCAATATAAATATAACTACAAGTTCTAGTACCTATTTACATATTTTCAGGCATTTCTCATAACAGAGAACTGCACAAAAATAATTATCACCATTGTTAGGTACATATATTTATAGCTGATAATTTCTGACTGAGGTAAAATCTTCATAACGGGAGGAGGTAGCAGATAGTTTTAAAGCTGCTAACATCTGACTGTAGCAGAAAGATTACCAAATAACTCAATTCCAGTACAGTAAACTGATTTTTGATATTTACTAAAGATAGCAGTCGGAACATGAAGGTTCTACATTTTGTAATTACATTGTGCACCTTTAAATTTGTTAGAAATATTTCCATATTGTCCACAAAAAAACAGTAATAATTGAAGTAAGAATTTGCTAACTAGTGGAAGAAAATCAATTTTTTTAAATAATTCCTTACATGCCTTCAATTAGTCTATTTTCTTTTAGATGCTGAATACTTATTTGCTGTCTGTTCAATTCCCCCAGAAAATTATTCCATATTGCATGATGGAAAGGAAGTCAGCAAAGTAAACTAATGCTGAAGTTTCCATTTTTATCATGAGTGATGTGACTGTCCTCACAGCAAAGCATGATAAACTTAGTATACTGATAATACATTCAACCCCTTCCCCCATTTAAGTTACTGTCAAGGCCAAGGAATTAAGATGTTTGTATTTCTTCAATTGTATTGTCATATGCTGTATTTTGATTAATGTATGTTTTGCTGTTAGTACAAAGATTCATGACACTTGTATCGTCAAAATTCAATGCAAATTTATTGGCTCTGAACCACTTGTTCTAGAGAGCAAAAATGATGATCCTCATTCCATCAAATTCTCCATAAGCATTATCACCAGTATAGGTACAACAGGACATATGGAAGCCGACTTGCCGAGGGGACCTAATATGGATTCCACCTAGCACTATATGAAATCTTAACTATTGTAATCTATTGTAAACAACTGTAAGTATTGTAACTTTATTCTCTTATTGTAGTCAGCCAATGTACAGTAACTGACTTGTCCTATATCATGTAACAATTATCTATAGAGACGAAATAAATAAATATAACAAGTCAATATGGGGCCCTCTTTCTCTAATTACTAATTTCCACAATACTTTAGGAGGTTATTTCAGTTATCTATAATATTGTGACATGTTGCGCAAAGGAGAACTCCCCCCCCACCAGCAGTGACGCGGCGGGTGAGTCAGCGCTCCCCTCCCACCCCTCCGCAGTGACGTAACGCGCAACGCTACGTACCCGTAATCAACTTCCTACTGTAACGTGGCACTCATTACGCAACAGCCAAGCACTGCAGCTATATAAGTGAACTGCACAGCAGCTACCAGTCAGTTGTACTGTGACAGCCGCCGAGTTATAAAGTAATAGTCGCCGAGCCGAGTTGACATATAGCAACAGTCGCCGAGTCAAGTTATAACCTGGCCATCGCCGAAGACAGTTCCGAGTTGAAACATAGCAGCCTGCGATTGTGCGATAACTAAGAAGTCAGCGAGCGGAAGACTTATTGTGTGCTTTCAAGACATAGTGAGTGCTGTAGTACAGTTATACTCAGAGTGTGTATTTCAGGGAGACTTGTACAGCTCCCGCGTTATTAATACTTGAAGACAGTGTTAAGAGATTTTGTTGTGGGGTTTGTAAACTGTGGAAACCCGTAATATTGTGATAATTAATTGTAGCCGTTATTTGTAGATTGTTAAATAAACCAATTAACGATCCGTAAGGCGTCTTCGGTAACGAAACACGTTACAATATGATGAATATAGTTTGTTTTTGCAGTTTTTATTACAACACTGTATTCCTTTTTATATGATTAGCTATATTCCTGAATCTTACTTTGCATACAGGCATCGTATAAAACAACTTATATTGCCAAATGACTTGTCCAAGTGTTACTATGTAGCAAAACGGATGAAAATACAAGACAATACAAAATAAAATATTAACAGATCACTTACCCCACAAGGCTCCTTTTGGATCGTGTTCGCTTCTTTGACATTAACAGCATGCCATTTGGAGTAAAAGGGTTGATATTTACAGATGGTTTATCTAATTTTGGATAGGCACATGCTACCCCTTTGGGTTTCTCAAATCTGCTAAATAACCTTGAGCGAGCCGCTGGAGTAGCCGGCGTGTGATCTGAACATTTTTCAAGCAATGTTTTCGGAGTAGCTGGTGATTGAAAGAGTCTTAACGCTCTCACTTTTTTATATGGTGGCGAACTTCTACGGTGTCGCAATGAAATGCAATTCTCAACCCTTGAAGCCCTTTCATTCACATGTTCCGGTGAAGAATCGTCGGAATTTGCGGTAAGGGTAAACTTTGGAATTGGGCTACTAAAGTGGAAATCTCCACGAGAGATGTCAAATCCTTGTTCCATACTCGCATCACATCCAGAACTCACTGTAAGCGAACTAATGTCGAATTCACTGTCATAGGCGTATGACTCAATGTCCAACTTTTGTACCACTTCCATTATTACATCTGAAACAGATTCCTTACACAAGAAATTCACTTTCGAACTTATTAACTCTCAACTCTGCGAGACACCTTCACTTTCAAACTCAATAACCGACGAACTTATTACCTCTAAACTCCGCGAAAAACCTTCACTTTCAAACTCAATAACCGACAACGTCTTACGTAATTTGACTATGCAGCTTACTGGTGGAGTAATTCAGGAAGGCCACCATCCACTGTGTATAGCAAATTATAATACTTAAGAACATTAACAATTATCAATATTATAGACTAATCAAGGTCAGCAGAATACTTAATTTCGTTAAAGAGTGCACAAATTCCTTATACTGAAAGACCCGTATCAAATAATTAAGTACTGATACATAATTTCATCAGACTCAAATGTTGGCAGAATAGAGTATAAACCCGCCAATAAATTTTGTCCACGGATTATTACATATAGATATGCACCTCAACGTTTAATGTGTGCAAGGCACGTATTACTAAACAATACCTGTGCCAGAGATAATACTTAAGGAGAATTTGATGAAATGAAGATTAGCAGGGGAAACCGAAGTACTCGGGGAAAACCTGGCCCATCGCCACTTTGTCCATCACAAATCCCAATGTAGTGCTGAATGGTATGATAAAATTATACATTTACAAACTGTACTTGTAAGTCGTTGCTATGGTTGCTATCGCCAGATAGCTTTAGGACGTCGTGATCGTGTCCACGGATCGCATAATAAAGCCTAGCAAGTTCATGGCATAAGCTCTACCTACTTCCGTTGTCCTGCCCGCCAATAGTATTGAGTTGACCGAGTTGACACCCACCGATTTCGAGGTCTACATCGGTCTATTGGGGCTATTGTACATATATTAGGTTGTCAGTTCACGAGAAGGGGATAATAATTAGCGTAATTAGTGTTTAAGTCGTTTAAGTAAACTGAAGTTGGGAATGTAGGAGCGTAAATCCAGTACAATGAATGATACATGTAGGTTTAATGTTTTGCAATGGGTAATTCCAGATAATTTGAAGCATTTATCTCCTCATGGTATGAAGGTTTTAAAATTCGAAAAGAGAGATGTGATAATTGTGTGGTTTAAAAGTAGCATCTTGATTTATGACAGTATTAACCTTTGTGAACTGCAGAAAGGGGATAATTCACGAGGCAACACCATTGTAAGTATTTTGAGTCTTTGAGTAACGTGTCCAGGGCGTTGATACATTTGTTATTGATTTATACCTACGAGATTAACAGTAGGTGTTCTGCACCGTTCGGCACTTGTCACCTGAACTTCCAAAGGGCAAGGAACCAGGGTCCAATCACACGTCAGTGTTTGTGTGATTATAGTTTAGTTTGTACATACATAATCACAGTTACTGTGGGCATGTGTTTACTTTCCCTTTGGTATTATAAGAATTTAGCAGTTATATATTTGCTTCTTTCAGTGACATATTTGAGGTTAAGTAATGGTGAGTGGAAGTGGCAGCTTGAGTGTGGCACAGTTATTTGAACTAGACAGTTCGCTGTGTAGCACACTTGTGTGTAAGTCGGTTAATTTATATCATTTGTTTATTTTGTAACATTCTCAGTGTGAGAATGCCCATGCAGTGTCTTTGAAACCTGCATGTGAAAGTGGTTTTGGGTCAGGTTTCCTTGATGGAAAATAGGTATATGAGATCTCCATACTGCGTGTGTGTGCGTTTTTTTTCAGCTTCTAAACCAAATGACCGATTTTCATGAAACAGTGGATGTCATGCCATTGAAAGTCGTTACAACATAATGATATTTATTTTCGTAAATCAGTCATTACAGCATGGCAGATACACAAACTTGTGAGGTGGGTGTGACATTAACACCACATAATCTGTGCTCTGCAATAGTTGGTAATAGTTCAGCAGACTTTTTTAAGGTAATTATTTTGTATGGCAGAATGATGGCTAGATGAAATCATATTTAGGTTACAGTTTGACAGTGGAAATTAATGATCTACTGGAGCAAGACATGTAAAATTTGGTATATTGATAGACATGTATGAAATATTATTTACAAGTCAGTGATGCAGAACTTTGAGGTTATCACGTAGGGAATAAATGCTTGTAAGTGAAGCCAGTGGGATACTCTTTGAGAATAGAGCCAGAAGTACAGAATATTTCTAAAAAATGCATGTACATCATATTGCAACAGATATATTAAAGTATGCCGATATAACCCAAAACACCTATGTCCAAAGTTGAACGGTTACGGAGATAATGGCCAGAGAAGTGTCAAACTTTGACCGGCGTTGCACACTTGTTGATTACAAAATACATATTAAAACGCAGGAATATGTGGATTCTGTAATGTTAATAATGTACGTAACATCAAACTAACTTGTGAATGACATGAAGCCATAAAATTGAAGTACAAAATACTCGCTCGCCATGTCATAATTGTCCTTAGAGTTTCCAAGCACTATACATGACACATGAATGGCAAGCGCTGACATAATATGACTGACTGCGCGTTCTGATAAAGCGAACTACATAAGTACGGCTAGGTTGAATCACGGCACTCAAGGACAAACATAGATAAGGCCTCTCAGCTGAGAGGTACAGTGCGTGGACCTGCCAGAAGACCACACTTTTCTTGGGCCATTATCTCCGTAACCGTTCAACTTTGGACATAGGTGTTTTGGGTTATATCGGCATACTTTAACATAAGGAACACCCTCCCGAAGTTTGGTTCATTCCTCCTGGGACACCCTGTATATGGGGGCACGCGGTAGCGTAGTGGTTAAGGCACTATGCTAGAAGTCGGAAGGTCGCGGGTTCAAATACCAATGAGGTCATTGGATTTTTTTTCCGTCAGCACTATGGCCCTGGGGTTCACTCAGCCTCTAACAGAAATGAGTACCAGGAATTAAATAAATAATTTTCCTGGGGAGTAGAGCACGGCCGGCACGTAAGGCTGACAACCTTACCACCATCTCTGAGCCAATTGTCTAGATAGTGTGGGACCCTTAACGTCTCACAACCCTATGGGCCTTCATGGTCTGTTACAGGGATAGCTTTACTTTACTTACTTTTTATATATATATATATATGAACTGTGATAATTGGTCTTTTGGTGACTTTTTGTTTCATAATTTTATAATGACACATGGTTGAAATACTGAATTTTAAAGAGGGAGCAACAATTATGAAATTAAATTGTTTAGGAACAAAGGTCTCTAATAATCTACCACAACATATTAAGGATATATCGAGTGACACTAAGAGTTTTGAGGTACAATTGAAACAATTTTTACAATTACATTCTTTTTATTCTTTACAGGAATATTTCGGTTATAAATCTTTTTAAGATGCGAGTAGCTGTCTTGCTTTACAATTAAAAGAAGACAAGATTGTCAGTCTGTGTTCTGGTTTCTAATTGCTTATTTTAGATATACATAATTTTTATATCACTGTATACTAGTTTTTATTTCAATTTATTATACTATTAATGTATGTAATACAAAATTCATTAATGACATTGTCTTTTAACTATAGAATTTTTAATTAATAGACTTGTATAAAACTGTACAAATTGTATAAGGTTTGCCATTACTTTTACTACTAAAATTAGCTTATTTATTGTATTGTATTTATTTATTTATTTATTTATTCACTTCACATCCATGGATCATTATACATGACATAGGACAAGTCAAAACACTCTTATAATCCAATACAACGATACAATAAGACAATACAATGATACAATAATAGAATAATAAGAAGAACAACATAATTTTATACTAATATAATAATTAAATGATGAGCACTATATTTATCAGTCACAACACATCAAATTTGAAAATAGATTAACAACATGTTTCGGCTATTTAGCCTATTTAACCTATTTGGCAGGGGAAACCGAAGTACTCGGAGGAAACCTGCCCCAGCGCCAGTTTGTTATCACAAATCCCACTTGTTCAAATCACAGTGGTGGGAAGCCAGCGACTAATCACTTAAGCTCTGGCGCGGCCTATAAATTGATGTTGGAGAGTATGGTCATCTGTCGTTATCCGGGTAGTTCCAGCCAATACCTCCTGCTATCCTGTTCTCTGCAAGAGTAAAAAAACAAAACAGAGCAGAAGGTATTCCCACATATATGTTATTGTAAAGATGTAAGTCATTTATTCATTAAGTATATGATAACTAGTAATTATGATTTGATTTATCCCCAACCACGAAAAAGTCTTCTACCCTATAAAAACAATGATCCAGCAAGAATGTTTTCAGAGTCTTTTTGAATTTGTGTAGTACTGGTATCTCTTTAATATATTGTGGTAACTGATTAAACATCCGACATCCTATATTACTAAAGTTGTTTTTGCATAAACTCGTATTACATGGTACTGTATATAGGTTATCCTTTCTCCTTGTATTGTATGAGTGTATTTCGGAATTGATTGAGTAAGCACTTAAATTTGCCTTTATGTAAACCAACACTTCATATATATATAGGCATGGTAAGGGTAATATATGTAACAGTTTAAAATATTGTTTGCAACTAACAGTTTTCGGGATTTGTATCATGATTCTAATAGCTCTTTTTTGTAGCTTAAAGATCACTTTTGCTTCTCCTGAATTACCCCAGAATATCAATCCGTATATTAACATAGATTGAAAATACGCATAATATAAAGTACGAACAGTCTCTGGCCCAGCTACTCTACTGATTATTCTTAGGGCAAAACATATTTTACAAAGTTTATTTGCTAGCTGTTGGGTATGTGTATGCCACTTTAGATTTTTATCCATCCAAACTCCTAGGAACTTTATATGTATATGTTTATCATATTTTATTACAAATTTGTATGCTATTCAGTGACAACTGTAATTCTTAGTTGTGACTGTAACTAGGACGATCTTCACATCCGCGTGAGAATGTATTCTCGACAGGATTTGTGGAAGGTGAACAAATGAAATGAAATGAAATGAAATGGTGCATAACAAATTTAAATGTCCGAAAATTTAGTGTCCCAGCGCTGCAAGTAGTGCCAAGCTTAAGAAATCATGAATCTATACATCCACCCCCCCCCCATATGCCTCATGGTGTGGTGCTTAATTAGTAAAGCACAGGGATGACTTTACCTTTACCTTTACATAGACTGAGGTTGTTTGAGAACAGGATGCTGAGGAGAATCACCGGAGAGGGATGAAGTGATGAGAGGTTGGAAAAAACTGCATACTGAGGAGCTTCATAACTTGTACTCTTTTCTAAGTATAATAAGAATGATAAAGTCAAGGAGGATGAGATAGGCAGGACGTGTAACATGAATGGGGGGAAGAAGGAGGAGGAGAATGCTAATAGGATATTGCTTGGGAAGCCAGAAGGAAAGAGACCACTAGGTAGACCAAGACAGGTGTGTGGATAATATTAAAATAGATCTTAGAGCGATAGGATAGGTTGGTATGGACTGGATTGATCTGGCTCATGATAGGGCCCAGTGGAGGGCTCTTGTGAAAATGGTAATGAATTTCAATTCAATTTTAATTTATTCTGTTGATGCATACAGGTACAACAGTTGGATATAGAAAAGTCAAAAATACAAGACAGTACAATATTAATAAATAATGATAAATAAATAAGACATGCAATCATTAAAAGATTTTGTCAAAAAAATGAAAATAATGTAACACTGGAAATACTGATACTATGATTTTACTATTACCGTCAGAAATACTTATCTAGTTTTATGCATAAAAATTCATCCACAGTATAAAAAGAATGCTCATGCAAATACTTTTTAATGCTTATTTGAAGCTTTTAATATCACATGCCACGTCCTTAATGTCAGCTGGAAGATCTTAATGCCTGCATAGGTGGAACTTTTATGAAACATCGCCAAGTGAGTGGTTACTTGGAAAAAATTAGAATTATTTCTAGTATTAAAATTATGAATTTCAGAATTTTGTCTAAACAAAGATTTATTGGTAACCATAAACAGAGCCAAGGAGAGTATGTGCTGAGATGCTAGAGGCAGAATATTCAAAATTAAAAAAAAAAAAAAAAATTCTGCAGGAATCCCTGGATCTTGCTTCCATTAGTATTCTAACTACTTGCTTTTGGAGTTTGAAAATATTCATACTGTGGGAAGAAGTTCCTCAGAAAATTAATCCATATGTTATAACTGAATGAAAATAAGCAT